TTCGGCGTTACTAGCAATAATAGAGGAAAGATCATTACGCATTCTGTATTGATGTCTCTGATCTATGTATATGACGACACCACCTCTTGGGCTTTTAAAGATCTTGAATTGTGCAATAAGTTATAGCCAGGTATACTGTAAAAAGGAAAGTTAGTTTTATTAGTGTTAAAAAACGTCTCTGAAAAACACAATGCAGTAAATTTGTGATTGATTGTATTTAAGAAATAATTGATTTCATCAAGGTGCTTAACTAAGCTTCTGGCATTTAGATGGAAGGTGCTAAAAGAAAAAGATTTATCAGAATATTTTAAATTAAAACTATCAATGAGTTCACATGTGCATACGTCATTGTTTTCAGGAAAGAATAAGTTACTATCTGCATTGCTATCATATAAATCAATATCAAAAGGATTTAAATTGAGAGAGCTTATTTTCTCAAAGTTTAACTTATGATCTAGAAAAAAAAATGTTGAACTTCATGAACAAATTCGGTGTCATCTAAAATATGGTTAAAAGGAAAAATAATATTAGCACAGTTTGAACACAGCCAGTTTTCTGATTTATTATTATATTTCAAGTGTACTGTAATATTGCAAGATATGAACGACGTTGAATCAGATGTTAAATTTGAATTACATAAAGCACATGTCATAATTTCCCCAGATTATTTTCCGATGCATTTGTTTCTCATAGTTTCCCACTGATTTTTTTCATCAGTTATTTTCATTATACTTCATAAGGCAGAACACTTGTGTTATTATTTTCGCTATTTTTATTTCCTTTATATTAATTAATTCCTTGTGGTAAGTGTTCAGCATAAAGGTGTGCCGATGAAACAAAAGCATTATCAATTGACTGATTGACTTTAGATTCATTCGCAATACTTATGAAGCCTAAATACACATTTTAGAAACGTTATTGTAAAAAGTTATCATCCGGGTTCACAAAAGAATTAAGGGAAAGTAAACAAGAAATTTCTTTTTTAATATACTTGTTTTTTTGGTGCTTGAATATCACACCTATTTCCTAGTCGTTCTATATTTACCCATATTTGGCTGCATCAGGTAAAAATCAGGCTAAGAGAGGCAGAAGGAACGATGTGATGCTTTCATTGTTACAGTACTACGCCTCCTCTTCTATATAAGTACTCTTGTGCTAAGTGCCCATTAGTGATTCTCTTCTACGATTATTACGCTTACTTTCATTTCGAATTCCTGTCACGGTTGTTGCATAACAGGCATATCAGGGGCGGATTTGGGGAGGGGGAGGAGCCCGGCTTCGGCTCACCCTTTTAGAAGGTAAAAAAAAAGAAATATATAAAAAAAGAAAAAAAGAAAAAAAGAAAAAGAAAAATTGATCGATCAAAACGCCTCTGAGTTTATTTTCGGGCGTCTAGAACACAAATATTTCGCGGGGGCTTACCTCCGGACCCCCTAGGTTAGTATTATCTCGAACGAGCCCACATTCGCGCACCCCCACCTTTTGGACATCCCTGGATTCGTCCCTGCATATTACATTAAATATACTTCATTATACATTTTTTAAACTTGTTTAAATATCAGTATTATTTTTTTTTTGTCTTTCATGGGTGCAGCCCACCTTTATTCTCCTTTTTTCGTTGCTTTTCGTATTTAAACAATGCTTACATGTGCAAAAGCTATTTCAAATACATTTATGATTACAGTATTGATAAACATGATCATAAAGATTAAAATCTATATAGCAGATAAATATTTTCCTTATACAAATTAATTTGCACACAGGCATATGTGCACTTAAACATACATATAAAATTACTATTATATAAATATATGTTAACTTATCGTTTTATAAATTATGCATCTTGTATAATATTTTTAATGTTTATATTAACAATTTTTTGTTATACATTGAATGCACTATGGCGTGAACACAATAGGTATTCTTTACTCAAAGTTAACCTAAATTTAGATTTGCGTAGCATACCTACATAAGTTTTAGGCTGTTGTAACCAGGAATATTTATTCTATTTATTTTATTTCAACAATCTTTAATGAGGGTGGTCCATCCAGCTGAAGCTGTTCATTATAGGGACCCTCAATACAATAGTAAAACAAAGCAAAAGAGAGTATTAAACTAATTAATTTACAGTCAAATAAATAACAACCTTTCAATTCAAAAGTTAAATAAAGAATTAATTCAAAATTAAATAAAAATCTTAATATAAAAATTAAAATTAAATTACAATTAAAGATGTAAATGAATAAGCAAGATTAAAAAACAATAGGCAAAAGAGACATTAAAACAAGAAAAAAAATGAGAATAAATTAGCCCAAATAAAACAATCAAATAATGTAAAAATAGAATATAGGTAATTGGTAAGCTCACACTGAGCCTCAATAACTACTTACAAAACGTCAATTTGGAAAACAAAACAATAAAATATTTGAAGGATCAAGATGAAATTATTTTAATTTTAGTGAATTTAATTTTCTATATTTAAAATAATTTAAAAGTGCAATAAACTATAGACTATGACATCATATCTTGATTAGCAAGTTGGTTGGATGATTTATAAACGTATAAATTACAACGGCGTATTTAGGACTGCATGGGAGGAGGAGCATGGCGCTAAGAAATACTCGTGCCCCTATGTGTCCCCCTAAAACTCATGCTTAAGTAGTTAAAAATCACCTCAAATCACCAACACCCTACTTGGCACCCAACTTTGGCACTTCCACCCCCCCCCCCCATTTTCGGACTCCTAGTGCCTCTGGTTTGATGAATCGTGGCCTCTTTTAGTAATAAAACCAATGACACAGAATTTAAATGAATGGAATGTTATATTTCTCAAATACTGAATCTACAATGGCTTGAAAACTGTTTTCGTTTCACATATTTAACAATGAACAATGATAATTAAAACAAAATAAACACTACATAATACTGAATATATAAATACCAGTGGTGGCGCCAGTGGGACAGGAAAAAAAAATCATTGTGTAATTTTTACAGAATTTAAACTAAATAAGCCTTTCAGATCCCTAAATTGTCGAAGTTGCCAGGGATTCTTCCTATGGACCCTTGAGTAGTTTCTGGGATGTCCTGGCATGGCCAACATATGCTAGGTTTTTTCCTATGGACAATTGCAAGTGGTTCTGGGATGCCCTGGCCCTACTAACTTATGCTGGTGTTGGAAAAATCAGCCTTCCCGTTGGGCACATTGGACTTCTCTTCGGACAAATACTTGGGCTGCCACTGATAAATACTATCAGTAACAATAAAAAAATAATAACATCTACTTAGTCAAACTGAAATTGTACAACCACATAAAAAGTGGAATGTATAAGTTTTGATATATCTTAACAGTACTTAAATACTGGGATATAATTCTACCAGTTCTACCAAATTGGTTTGTATATTAAAATTTTTTAGAAAGTATACAATTTTGTTTTTTACAGTATTTTGGTGGCAGCATGTGTTTACAAATTTCCCAAATTACCCATGTTCTCACCAGGTGCTTTTCCCCTTACCAGAGTGCTATGGCCCACTGGTTTGTATTGGGAAACAATTAAAGACTGCCTGTCAGGTACAGTTGCATTTTGAAATTACAGTGCTATATACAACTTAAATTACCTTGCTTAATTTTCTTAGAGAGTGGTATCCGAAAAATTATGTCATTACACACCACAAATTGTCAAGTTTGATCTGTAAATGAAACCACTAAAAAGTATAGAAAAGAACAATAATAAGTTTATTTAGTTACATGTAGTGTAATTTACACACAAGGAGATCAAGTCATCACTTCTCTTGATTCGACTTCATTTACTGGCTGCTGCATCTAGCATATTAATGTTCACTACATGATATGGGCCTAATCATGGACCTATTAATAAGATGGTCTGATTATCCAATCAGAGCCCATTTAGGGACTTTCACTAATCAGGCAAACACCCTTCTATTCTAATAAGCTGTACGATTTTCTTTACAATATAGAGTAATGCATTATACCATTGTGAAAAATGTTTTTGAATAAAGGCTCCTTTTTATTTGTACAAGGTTAGAGCACATTTGCTTATACAGTATATATAAACATAAATTACCTACTAAATTAAAGATTATCTGTCATTACTACATAACAAATTGTCAAGTTTTATCTGTAAATGAACCACTACAATGCACAGAACAACAATAACAACTGAAGTTTATAATTTCCCATTAATTGAAAAAAAACCAATCTAAAAAACAAGTTTGATAAATGAATGAAATTTTAAAACATATATTTCAATTTTAATACCCAAATATTAAGATCAACTTAAATTGCACTGATGCAGCGCAAGATGCTAATACTTCAAAATTAAAAATTATCATCTTAAATAAATAACACATTTTAAAGAATAATCCCTTCATTCAAAACTAACTAGCTTAATTTTACTACATCACTTGATTGGCTTGTAAGAATGAGGAACTAACCAAAAACTGTTTACCAGAATTCAAAATTTTACAAAGGTATGTAGTGCTAGGCTAACATATGCTAAAGCTTAAATTGGCATAAACTATTTAACATTTTACTTTAACATCAGTGGCAACACACAAGAAAGTGCACAGTCAATCAACCAAAAACTTACTAGAAGGAAAATACAATTTTGAGTTGAAAATTAAACTAAAGAAATTAAAAAATATTACATATGTACACATGATCGCCGGCAAATTTTGGCAATGCTGATTGGTCGGTCAAATCATGAGGCCTTCCTGATTGTGTTGGGGACAGCTACGCAGCACAACCATCGCAAGGAAAACGATGTAGCGAATTTATGAAAACCACTGTCCACCACTATCAAATTTTCTTTGACAAAAAACTGTAATGTCCATATAAAGTCATATGTCCATATATAGTCATGATGTGCCCATATATAGTCATGATGTGTCCATATATAGTCATGATGTATCCATATATAGTCATGATATGTCTACATATGGTCATGATGCAATGTTATTTTGCTCTCCAAAGCATGTGTCCTCAAAATATTCTTGGCCATCCTACATTTTCTTGCCTTTGGCATGACAATGCACTTTTTATCGATAGAACAAACCTGAGCTACTCAAATGTCTAATAATAAAACCTGTGCCCAACTCTGTGAACTGTAAGGCCACAGAAAATTGTATCGGAATGTCAAAGATGCGCAACAGCCCTAATGAAAGCATATAATCAGGGATAATGTCATAAAATTTGATTATTATACAAAAGTGCTGATAAACATTCTGTTTCAAAGAAACCCACAAATATTTAAATGAAAGCACCTCTGGATAAAATTGCATGAATGTCTATTTCTGTCTATTTTCAAAATATATTTTCTCAAGATGTTGACATAATATTTTCTCTCTGTTATTATGTCTGTAATAGTTTGAAATAGGCATTTAAGTACATGAAACATTGGAACTTTTGGACTGGCCCCTAACCATGGGCTCTGCTCCTGGACCTTTTACTGGATGTTCCAACCCCGCTTTTGGGTTCCTCGGAACCAGGGCCGCTTTCTGTGGCACTGATTTTAGTTATATTTTTCCTGGTAATAAAGTTTAAGTTCTTCAATGACATCTTCTCTTTCAAGATTGGTTAATGCATCAATAATCTTTGCAAGATGATTTACTTTAGCTTCCTGCCTTTCTCGCCACTTTACCAACATGTCCATGCAGGCGTCTACCGTTGGTGGTGAAAAGTCGGTTTTAATTCGTTGTATTTCAGAGCGCTTTATATTAAGGTAGATGCCCAAATCTTTCCAATCATCATCATCAAGTCTTTCAGCAATGAACTGAAAATCAGTATCAGCCAAGCAACCTGCGATAGAATAAAAGAAAAGAATAATAGTATGGAATAAGTAGTATTAGAGGTATTGACAACTATATTTGTTTTCACCTCCACCAAAGGAGGTCATCTATAGTTCACCGCTGTCTGTTAGCATCATTTCTATTGTCACCATTTCTATCATTATCACCCCCCTCACCATCACCCCCAACAACACCATCACCATCATCCCCATCATCACCATCACCATAATAATAATAATATAGCGCAAATAAACGAGGTCTCTATGCGCTAGACAATATTGAAGTCAAGAACCAAAGAAAAAAGCCGGAAAAAAAAAAATAAAATAAAAACAATAAACACCAAGCTAGCACCCAAACCGAAGTATGGGGTTACACCATTACCGCCAACCGGAGATCTGTGTTTATGTACTCCGGTTAGCATCGGAGTACATAAACCATCATCATCATCATATGATCATTTCTGAGCAGCAATAATGGAGCTTAGTGGTAGATGCTTGGTTTTTAATTCCAGGGTCCCGGGTTCTATTCCTGTGACTTTAAATCTCATGACTAAAAACAACTGCACTCCCAAAACTCATAAAGAGATTTCGCTGTAAAAAAAAAAATCATGTTATTTCGTTTACTAAAGAGGGCCCTGAATATTAGCTGGCCTTTTAGGATATGCTGGAAGGTATCTAATTAAAGCTAAAAAACATGAAGTACTGACCATCGTGTTCATGATCTCTACTGGATCTTACATGGGATGATTGAACCTCTGACTGTGAGCCAAAGACTTTGTTAGCAAGCTCTGTGAGTCTTTGTTCCTTCAAAGCTCTGCACATTATCTCAACTTGATTTGTCTCGTAGTTCTGTTGTTTCCTCCATTCTGTCAGCATATCCACTATGCATTGCATTGACAATCGTCTGTTATCACTCCAGATTTGTTGGATCTTGTTCCAACTGAGACCCAGCCTGACACCCAGTTGTTTCCCTGCCAGTCCCAAGTCTTTAGCGATAAGATAAAGGTGCTTATCTTCCACATAACCTAGATTCCCATCTGAAGTAAAGGTAAGAGTAGGCCTAGTAAAATAAAAATAATAAAAAACAGGTTCATTGATAATAATGTCTAAAACAGTGCCTGTAACACCAACCTTGTTGCGCTGTCTCTGCATTGCTGACATCTGTGGTATCCATTGCTGGACCTGTAACCAATAAATTAATAACAGATCAAATACAGTATCCAATAATGTTAGAATTTAAACCAAATTATAGTTTTAATATTGTTTTAATACTAAATGACACAAATCACTAGTTTTTAGAGTAGATTATAATTAATAAAAAAAAATATTTTGAAAGTAAAACCCCAACCTGGTTGCACTGTCTCTGTATTGCTGACATCAGCGGTTTCCATTGAAGGACCTGTAACCAGTAAATTAACAACAGATCAGATATAGTATCCAAGAACGTTAGGATTAGGACCAAATTGTACAGTTTTTTTATGTTTTTTAATACTAATTGAAACTCAAGCACTGATTTTTAAAAGTGCATTAAAATTAACAATAAAGTAACTATATTTTAAAAGAAAAACACCAAACTGGTTGCACTGTCTCTATATTGCTGACACCTGCTGTTTCCACTGAAGGAGCTGTAACCAATATTATTATTATTAACAGATCAAATATAGTATCTACGAATGTTAGGATTAGGACCAAATTATACAGTTTTATTATCGTTTTAATACTAAATGACATTCAACCTTAAATTTTAAAGTGGTTTAACATTAACAATAACATAAGATGATCTACATCACTAAAGCTGGGAGCAACTTGAGGGTCTTCATTTTTCCTGCTTACATTCTGTGCAATCTCATTGAAATTTCGAGACAATCAAGTAGCATTTTTTTTCTTAAAAAACATATTTTACACTTGATTTACCTAAAGCTAAATTTAAAATTAATTACTTTTACTTGTCATGCAAATCTTCAAGTAATATTTAAATTATATTCTTCATTTTTACACACAGTATATTTTCTCACAGTGTACCGAAAGTTTAATTTTTTTACACTTTTAAATGTCATGTAAATCTTCAAAAAATATTTTGGAGAAATATTATAATGAAATGTTAATATTAAAGCAGTTGTTACTGAATAGTTTCAGGATAGTTCATGTGTTAGTTTCTCTTCTCTATTTAATAGTCTGTAAGTGCTTTGAGACGATTTTTAATTGTGTAAGGTGCTATGCATGTCCATTTCCACAACGATAGCTGGTAAATTTCAGTCTTCCATAAAAATACTGATCAATGGTTGGCAAATTCCTAAGTCCATCTTTGGACCCTTTAATTTCTTTCTAGCACCTAAAATAATTAGATTCATCCCCATAAAGAAAAGTATCGGGAAGACTGTGCAGCCTGTAACAACCCCCTTTTTAAAGTTCTGTCAATTCTTTGTAAATCTTGCAGTGCTAAATCTAATGTTAACACCTCCAAAGTAACTTTAAATCATGCTATTTATGTGGGCAGGAATTAAATAATGCACTAATGCTGCTTAAAGTCAACTTGAACTTGTATAGTTACTATTTAATAGTAGTACTGTGTAAGTAATTAAGGGTATTATTGCCAACTACATTTGTTTTCTCCGCCACTTTCTTCGTCCTCCTCTACTTCAAAACTCTGTTAATGTTTCCTGTTTTAAGAATAATTTAATTAAGCATTTTATTTCATTTTATGTTTCTGATTAGTTTCTGTGTATTTAGTTCTGATTGTTTTTGTGTATTTCATTTTATATGAAGGATAGGGAGCAAATATTGTTCAGGCTTTTGCCCATTCCCTATCCGGGCTATGCATGATGTTTTTCTCCTATATGCTTTTTGCCAAATAAATATTATTATTATGTATTCTCTGCTGTCTGCAAAATTAGGCAAAAACTAAGGATGGATCATCATAAAACTTATGGGAATGGTACATAATATTCAAAAAGATACAATGAAACATGCCGTTCGCAGCGTAAAAGTAGAGCAATGCCCAGTCATGCCCTTTGCCTGCCAAACTCTAAATCTAGGACGCTAGACAGGAGCTTCATCCACTCTTCGGTCCAAATTGGAACTCTATTCTAGATAGTGTAATGGGGAATAATGCAATCGTGGCAACTCAGAACTTCAAGTGCAGGGCACACAAACACTTAATTTAAACTCCAAATTTAAAAATAAAAAGAGAAAAATAAAAAAAAAAATAAAAAAATGTTCTTTTTATTTATATACTTACAGATTTTTTTACTTTTTGTTGCAGCTAAATTTTGATTGCCACATTGGGTGCGTTTTCGCAACCGGCTTGACCACTTTTTGCCAGTCCACTCTATAAAAAAAATAAAAAACGATTAAATCATCATCATTAGATGAAGAAAATGTCAAAGGGCAAGGTCAATGAAATTCAATTTTTTAACACAAGCATAAAAGAAAAACATGGTCCACCATATATGGTCTGCTTTGGGCATATAATTCAGTATTCAGGCAAATGGGCTCTAGTACAGTATTACT